GAATAAGCTGCTGAAAGAAGCTTTTCCTAAAACCCCCGCGTTCAATTGACCGAACCTGAGTATAAGGCTTGAAGGGTTTCTCCTTTCAATTCCCCACTCAAGTTAATAGACTGCGAAGCTAAGAAAGACACTGATGATTTGAAAAACAAAAGCTAGGACAAACCTGGTTACATAACCAAAAATCAAGAGTATTATGTGATATCAATTAACGAAAGCTTCTAAAAGACAGCTTTGCATACCTGGCCAGGTGGGCTCTCATCCTTATCCCAGGCTTGGGCGGCCAAGGCGGGTCCGCGTGCGAATCACGAGGGTCAGGAGATCAAGACCATCGCTGGCTAACAGGCCGGTCAACCCAATCTCTACTAAAATACAGTACAAATACATTAGCCGTCGTTGGTGGCGGCCCTGTAGTCCCAGCCACTACTCAGGGAGGCTGAGGCAGGAGAATGCGCAAAACCGGTTGAGCGAGGCAGTGAAGCCGAGATGGCCACTGCACTCAGCCCTGGGTGACAGACAGGGCTCCATCTAATAAAAAAAACAAAGAAAAAAACAAAAAAGAAGAAGCTTTATATTTCATTACATCAATCTAGTATTCAATTTTCATTTTCCTTTTTCTCAATGAGGAGGAAATAAGGAGAACATTATGGAATGATTTTTAGACTTCACAGAAGTAAAATAAACATAGTGAGGTTTGAGTGTTAAGACATCAAATGCAATTTCTCCTTCACCTTACTTCAAGCTTGTTTGTATGGAGAAGTTAAGACCATCCCATCTCTATGTTATGCCACAATGCGTCTCTATAGCACACAACTTGGCTCTGATATTTTGAAATTCAAAATACCAATCTACCATTTGTCTCTGATAAATTGCTGAATATTACCTGATTTTTAACTGCTGCGCTCCTAAAACTTTTCTTGGAATGAGTTAAACTTTTTATTCCAAGAATCCTCTAGTAAGCTAGAAAGCAGAGCTGTGCATCTCTGTTTCAGTCAAAGGAGGTCAATACAGAAACTGTGGTTTCTGAGAATGCAAGATCTGCACCAAGAAAAGGATTAGCCACAGTGCTACTCAAGAGAACCAGCTACCACATGGCAAGAGGATCTGCGAACTGGAAGATGATGACTTCACTTGGTTTCCACTGAGGAAAGCTGGCAGCTCAGACTTAAACTTCTCCTTCCTGGATGGTAAATATCTATGGATGATTCTATGAATTATAATGAATTAGTAAAACATAATGCACTAAACAGTAGACTATGTCAGCAGATCCTGTGACCAAAATTTACTGAAAACGAAACTATAGAAGGAGGCACTGGATAAGAGACTGAAGGTTTAAATGGAGAAAAAAAAGAAAGAAAGTGTGTCTTGTAAGCCTGACTTGCCATTGTGTCTTAGAGTAAGTAAGGTATAAGCTGACCAGAGACGTCTTTGAGACACAAAAAGTGAAGTTAAAGATATTCCACTAAATTTAATTTTTATTATGACATAAGACAACTGGTAATATGCAACATGATTGAAAAAAACCTTTTCATTAAATTTGATTTGGTCCTAGTATAAGAATAGACATAAACAAACTAAGAATTGATAATCTAAAAATAAGTCTGCACATTTACAATTGATTTTATACAAGGTTAACAAAAAAACAGAATGGGAAAAGAATAGTCTTTTCAATAAATGGTGTTGGAACAACTGGGTATACATGTGCAAAAAATATATATATAAAGTTGGACTCTCACCTAATACCATATCTAAAAATTAACTCAAAATAAAACAGTTAACTGTAACAGCTAAAACTGTAAAACTCTCAGAAAAAAACATTGGTATAAATCTTTGTGACTGCATTTGGCAGTTTTCTTAGCCTTGACTCCAAAGCAAAAATGGATTCAATGGACTTCAAAATTGAAAACTGCTGGGCCTGAGAAGACAGTATCAAGAAGTGAAAAGGTAAGACACTGAGTAGAAGAAAGTATCTGAAAAGCATATATCTAATAAGGGACTTACATATATAGGATATAGAATTCATAAATAATAAAATAACCCAATTTTTAAAATGGGCAAAGATTTTGAATAGATATTTCTGCAAAGAAGATATAAAGATGGATAATAAGCACATTAATAGATGCTTAATGTAATTAGTCATTAGGAAAATGTAAATCACAACCAACTTGTGGTATCACTTCACACCACAGGATGAAATCTTTGTTCAATAAAAAAGAGAAAATAAGTGTTAGGAAAAATGTAAAGAAATTAAAACCCTTATCCAATGCTGCTGGAAATGTAAAGTGGTGCAGTCACTTTGGAAAACTGGCAGCTCCTCAAAAGGTTAAGCATGAAGTTACCATATGACCCAGAAATTCCAGTCATTAATTATATACTCCAGAAAAATAAAAACATATGCAAGCACAAAAACTTATACAGCAGCATTATTAATAAAGTCAAGAAGTGGAAAGAACCCAAAGGTCCATCACCTCATGAATGGATACATAAAATGTTTAATGTATCCATACAGTGGAATATTACTCAGCAATAAGAAGAAATTAAGTACTGATACTGATAGAAGCAGGAGACAGCAAAATGCCTAGGCAGATACAGCACAGTCCCCAGAGAATCTCCAACCAGGCCCACAAGTGTCTACACCAGACAAAACATTTGGTGCAGATAAGGGAACCTGCACAGGGTTTTGCCTGGACATGCCAGCAGCGGACCAGAGGCCCACATGCACTGGGGGGCTGGGGAGGAGCCACCAGGAATTCATGCCTTATGCAGAGGAGGAGCCTGGCCTTTTCAGCTCATGTGTGCTGGTCCTGGTATTCAACTGTGAGGTGGAAATCTGATTGCAGGACCCTTCTCTTTGCTGAGAGCTTCCCTTTCACTTAATAAATTCTGTCCTCCTCACCCTTCAATGTGTCCACGTGCCTAATTATTCCTGATCATGAGAGAAGAACCCAGATTTAGCTGAATTAAGGAGCAAAAACCCTGCATCAATACCTGCTATAGCACAGATGCATCATGAAAAATTATGCTGAGTGAAATAAGCCAGTCACAGTAGACCACTTGCTTTTTATTTCAGAGGCTTATAAGCAAATCTATACAAAGAAGGTGGGTTGTTCCCTAGGGCTGAAGGAGGAAGGGAAAACTAGAGAAGATGGTTTCTAAATGATGTGGGGTTTGTTTTTAAGGTGATGAAAATGTTCTAAAATTGATTGTAATGATGATTGCATAACTCTCTGAAAATACGAAAAGTCAATGACTTGTATATTTTAAATGAGTGAATTGCACAGTGTGTTAATTATTTCTCAATAAACCTGTTGCACCCCAAAATTTATTTGATACTAGTGATCTGGAGACATGGGCTGCTTGGTTTCAGATCACTGGCCAGGGTTCAAGACATAAGAGAATCAACAGCATGTCTTATAAGATGTATAGAATATATATATATATATATTTTTTAAAGTATCCTTTTTATTAGCATCAAGTCTGTAAAATTAAATGAAAAATCTTTCACTGCTTAAAGCACTGAGAGATTTATATTGAGGAGAAAGACCTTGTATTCTTTTGCCCCAGTTTCTATCTAAAGGGTCTGGGAATCACACCCTTCAAATTATCAAATCTCATCAGACAGGTTTTATTAACTCTTATGATGTGGCTTACTTTCTAACGTGATTCTGGTACAGCATCACAGAGAGAAGAAGCTGAAAAAAATCAAAGTATTTTACCCCCAGATATATATATTTTTGACATATTTTGAAATGGCTATTGCAGGACCAAGAAATTGAAATGACCGTACAAAGCTGTCTTCTGTGGGGGAAACTGCATCTGTAAGAAGTCTTCATTAATGTAGCCCAATCTCTCCCCTTCTAGGTCTTCCCAGATCTAGGGAAGATTAACTAAGAGCCTGATGCATTTAAAGTCTGAAAAGATATTTTTACCCTCTATTTTCTCTGAGGGCTGTCAGCTATGAGGCTTTGTCTACATAATAAGAACGTTAACCTCCGTAACCACCTTATCTTAATTAAGGCCTTCCTTTCTACCTATTTCCAGTTTTAGACAACAGATTTTCTTTACCAATTGTCACCTAAAGAATCCCCAAAACCCACCTATGACTTGTTAGCCCCTCCTTTTTGATGTCTCACTTTTGGGCTGAGCCAATGTCTGCCTTCCTCATATTGATTTATGATTTTCCCTACACCTTCTGTCTGCTGGAAATGTACAAAACCAAAACCACACTGTAATCTGACTGTCCCATGAAACATTCTCAAGAGCTCTTGAGATTCAGTAATCCAGGGCCACAGTCACCATATTGGCTCAGAATCAACCTCCTTAAACATATTGTGGCTGAATTTGGGTTTATCCATCATTAATATTTCCCCAAATTACATAATTTTAATCCCCAAACTGATTTAAAATTACCTTATGTTGGAATATAAATTATCCTATTACAAAGATACATGTATTTGTATGTTCATTGCAGCACTATTCACAATAGCAAAGACATGGAGTCAACCCAGATGTCCATCAATGATAGACAGGATTAAAAAAATGTGGTATATATACGTCATGGAATACTATGGAGCCATACAAATGAGATCATGCTCCTTGCAAGACATGGATGAACTTGAAGCTGTTATCCTCAGCAAACTAACTCAGGAACAAAAAACCAAACACTTCATCTTCTCACTTATAAGTAGGAGCTGAATGATGAGAACACATGCACTTGGGGTGGGGAACAACAAACACCTGGGCCTGTTTGGGTCAGGAGGGAGAGCATCAATATTAATAGCTCACACCTGCGGGGCTTAATACATAGGTGATGGACTGATAGGTGCAGCAAACCACCATGGCACACGTTTACCTATGTAACAAACCTGCACGTCTCGCACATGTAATCTAGACCTTAAGATAAAAAAATTATTTTTAATTACCTTCTGTTTTAGCTTCTTAAACAGAATATCCATTTTCAGTTGATCTGTATTTAAGTCTCCATGGCAACTGAAGTCTTCATTTCCAAATACATTTAACATATTTATTGTCATTTCTAGGCATTTCTTATATCTGCAGAAATGTACAGAAGTAGTAAGTCAAGTATTTGTAAGAGTAAATATTTAACAATTGTTTAAACAGATATTATGTTATGGCATATCAAAGAAACAAATCTATAAACTATGATCCTCTCAGTTTCAACTGAACATAGTTTGAAAATATTCTATATGAAATTATAATCTTAAATAATATGAACAACAATTTTATGGCATACATAGCAGGTAAAGTGATACGATAGCCATACAGTTTTTTTGAGATGGAATTTCACTCTTGTTGCTCAGGCTGAAGTGCGATGGCGTGATGACGGCTCACTGCAACTTCTGCTTCCTGGGTTCAAGTGATTCTCTTGTCTCAGCCTCCCAAGTAGCTGCGATTACAGGCATGTGCCACCATCTCTGGCTAACTTTGTATTTTTAGTAGAGATGAGGTTCACCATTTTGGTCAGGCTGGTTTTGGACTCCTGACCTCAAATGATCTACCTGCCTTGGCCTCCCAAATTGCTGGGATTACAGGCATGAGCCACCACACCTGGCCTAACCATACAGTTTTTTATAAATAAACTATTCACATCCATTTTGGTATGCTAAGATAAAATGACCTATTAGTAAATATACGCCATAACCCAGAGATGAGTAACCAAGATAAAAAAAAGTAAAACACATACATGTTTGAAAAAGACACAAAAATACATTTTGATATCTGTTGACCACAGTCTATAACAAGAAAAAAAAGTACACACAAAAAGCATCAAGAAGGTCATTCAATGTAGAGAAAGAGAAGTAAGGAAACATCTTTAATATCTGAGTTGAGGAGAAAAAGAAAACAGGCAGTTTTAGAAAAAAGGAAAGGTGGAGACAGATATGTGATGATTTAAAGACTTTGAAGAAGAGATCTAGAGATCTTTACTGACATAATCCAACAAAATGAAAGAGATACAAAACCATGTAGAGAAAGACAATGACAGAAAAATGTTGAATAGAATCAGAGAACCAACTTAAGTGCTCAGTAAATAAATAGAAAACTAGCTGTGTTCAGGACTTCAAAGACACATTCCATTTTTTTTTTTTAAATCTGTGATCAAAACATGAATGCTCTTTTACTCTTTTTCTTTAGGTTATACATATATTCATATATATGTATAATTTATTTCTGTAAAACAAAAGTTTAATAAGATGTATACTTCATGTATACAATGGAGGTACCCATGTAAAATGAGTAAATTTCCATGATATGTTTTATATCTAAAAGCAAAAGAAAGAAGCAGAAACCAAATACAAGCTATATATCAAGATAAATTTTGATGTTAAAGAATGACACAAATAGGTCTTAAAAAAATTTGAATGTAGCAGAGAAGAACACTGTAAAAGGAAGAAAAGATGACCAAATACAGCAAAAATATCTTCAGAAATAAAAATTCAAACTAGGTCATGAAGAGTGCACTTGACATCACATGCCCAAAGCATTGTCATTATTGTTTTCAAAACCATTAAAGAATACATTGCCAAGCACAATGGCTCATGCCTCACTTTGGGAGGCCGAGGCAGGTGGATCATGAGGTTAGGAGTTCGAGACCAGCGTGACCAACATGGTGAAACACTGTCTCTACTAAAAATATAAAAATTCGCCGGGCAGGGTGGTGCACTCCTGTAATCACAGCTACTCAGGAGGCTCGGGCAAGAGAATCACTTGAACCCAGGAGGTGGAGGTTGCAGTGAGCCGAGATCGTGTCATTGCACTCCAGCCTGGGTGACAGAGCCCGACTCTGTCTCAAAAAATAAATAAATAAATAAGTGTAATGTTTCGGCATTCAAAAAAATTTTGAGATTGCATTGTTTCTTTTTTTTCACATATTTTTAATATGAATGTTTTCATCCCAACTTTGCCATAGCACTTAGCTGACTTCTGCCCCGTTTCTCCCCTTCCATTGGACTCTGTGACACATGGTCTCATCCAGAGATCTATTTTTCATCAGTTATTGTGTTTTTATACTGAAATTTGATTTTTTAATAATTCCAACAAAAAAGTGCAAGGGTCATGGACTCCTGCTCACATGCCTATAAAGTTGCGTTGTGAGTTTCTGAAATACATTTTAAAATAGAATTCGTTTAATTATGAAAATGCAGACATAAAATGAATTTGTATCTAGGTTTTAGTCAAGTAAAGTTAGAGTTAAATCAATTAATAAATGGTTAAAATGTCCTACAATATGAAAACCATACCCAGTTGTCTCTTCTTCTAATTCATGATTTCTCTTTCTTATTTGATCCCCATTATAGTCCAGTGATGATATTAACTCAAAAAGTTTTCTGAATTCTTCATGTTTTTCTTCAGGCTTGAAAACAAAGGGTTTAAAATTATTTTTGCAAAATCTAGAGCCCCTCTTTTATCTTAAAAATATTATTTCTCATAAGTTGATGAATAATATGTATTTAGGCAGGTATATAAAGTGTGTTTTATAAACCTGATGCCAGTGAGGGCAGATTTCAAAAATAGTAATTTTTCTTAATACTGCTAAAAATGATTCATACTTTCATCATTATCTTTTCTGAAATTTAAACTGCCAAAAATGTTAGTTAAAAATGAGAATTTTTACACACAAAATACTAAGGGATAGTAAAAAAAAATAAATAAATAAAGGTAGCTATATTTACATTTTAGTTTTTAAAGATGCTCTAGAAACATTGTCATTAATAGTTTAAGATATTCCAAGTTAAATTACATCTTATTAAGATGATTTTTAGAAAACTCTTACTAGCTCCCATTACATTTTTGATCCTCATCTATCTTCAGGCTGAGCTAAATACTGTCATCCTCTGTAAGTATTCACCTGTGGGTTTTAGTCTTTCCATGTCTCTTTACCATTTCTCTTTAAACAAAGTTTATTTTTTCTATAATAAACAAATAATAACTTTTGTCTAGTTTTTGTGGCTTTTCTATTATCCTGTTTCTCCCCTTCCATTGGACTCTATGACACATGGTCTCATCCAGAGATCTACTTTTCATCACTTTGTATACTGAAACTTGAGATAAACCAGTGTATGGCTCTTTAGAGCAAAACCTAGGTAACAGACATCTGGGTTGCTTGGCAAACGTCATGTGTAATCCTGAGTTATGAACCTGTCACAATTTAATTAATTGTTCTGCTCTGTATCCGTGCTTTCACACCACTCTAACTGTAAGCCTGCTTCAAGCTAGCCCATCCTCTTTTTGAAGTGTGCATAAAAAAAGTCAAGTGCTGTCTTTGTTCTGGGCCCAGTTTGTCAAAAGTTGAGTCCACTGGACCTGAATACACTCAATAAAGATATCCTCCTGTATACACCTCAAGGTCTGTCTCTGGTCCTCCTGATTCCACAACAGCGCGATCTCCACTCACTGCAACCTCCACCTCTCGGGTTCACGTGATTATCCTGTCTCAGCCTCCCGAGTAGCTGGGATTACAGGTGCCCACCACCTCACCCAGTTAATTGTTTGTATTTTTAGTAGAGATGGGGTTTCACTATGTTGGCCAGGCAGGTCTTGAACTCCTGACCTCATGATCCGCCCACCTCGGTCTCTCAAAGTGCTGGGATTACAGGCATGAGCCACCATGCCCGGCTGCTACTCCTCTTTTTAAATTCTCTCAGAACTCCTAAAATCTCCAAAGGTTAACCTGGATTCCCTAATATATATTTCCAACTCTGACCTTTTTACTGAGGCTTCTTCCTTCTAGTACACATATTATAGACAATATTTTCAACCACACACTCATACATTGCTACTTGGTGCAGATTACTTTTGTAGATAGTGAATCTTGTCTATTTTATGTTGATTCTTATTGATGTTACTTTGAATATAGTATTATTTTCTAATCTTGAAGGGGGACTGTCTCACCCTTAGGATATTGACCAGTATACTTTGTACTTTTTCCTTCTTTTCTTTTTTTTTTTCCTTTTCTTTGGATATTGACTAGTATACTTGTGTCCTGTCCTTCCTTCCTTTATTTTCTCTTTCTTTCTTCCCTTTCTTTTCTTTTTTTTTTTTTTTTTTGAGACGGAGTCTCGCTGTTGTCCCAGGCTGGAGTGCAGTGGTGCGATCTCGGCTCACTGCAAGCTCCACCTCCCGGGTTCACGCCATTCTCCCGCCGCTCCAGCCTCCGAGTAGCTGGGACTACAGGCGCCGCCACCACCGCCCGGCTAGTTTTTTGTATTTTTAGTAGGAGCGGGTTTCACCAATGTTAGCCAGGATGGTCTCGATTCCTGACCTCGTGATCCACCCGCCTCGGCCTCCCAAAGTGCTGGGATTACAGGCTTGAGCCACCGCGCCCGGCCTCTTTCCCTTTTTCTTTCTTTCCTTTCTTTCTTCTTCCTTCTTCTTTCCTTCCTTCCTTCCTTCCTTCCTTCTCTTTCTTTCATATCTCTCTCTCTCTTTCTTCTTTTTTTGACCACTATACTTTGTCCTTTTTTTCTTTTTCTTTCTTTTTTGTTGAGATAGAGTCACAGTCTCTTATCCAGGCTGGAGTGCAGTGGTGTCACGTCGGCTCACTGCAACTTCCATCTCCTGGGTTCAAGTGATTCTCCTGCCTCAGCCTCCCAAGTAGCTGGGACTACAGTTGCACACCACTACACCAAGCTAATTTTTGTATTTTCAGTAGAGACAGGGGTTTGCCATGTTGGCCAGGCTGTTCTTGTACTTCTGGCCTCAGGCAATCCACCCACCTCAGTCTCCCAAAGTGTTGGGATTACAGGCATGAGCCATGGCACCCAGCCCTTTTTTTCTTGTATAATGAAAACTTTCCATGAGAATCAGATTATCAATTGTTTGCCTTTGTTTCCGTCTAAAGAATTTCCTTTTCCATAGAGATATGGCATGATGAACATCTTGTTCTACAGTTTCTTTCTGGGGACACTCAATTATATCATTGGGAAGCTCCAGTCAAGTAGAGATCTCCCTTCTTCCTAATCGAGATTCTTCATCTCAAAATGGTGTCCACCAAATGTCTTATCCAGGTAGTCTCTTGCTTAGGAACTCATGAAATAAGAACCTTCTGGAGAAGTTAGAAGCTATTGACTGAGATGGTTTAAAGCTGTCCCTTATTATATGTTTTACTCCCAAGGCAGACATCACAGTGGCTAATAATTCTATGCCTGATGTCTAAATCAACTCTATGCGAATCTATAAAAAACATTTTATTTATGAGACAGAGTCTTGCTCTGCTACCCAGGCTGGAGTGTGATGGCTTGATTACTGCTCACTGCAGCCTTGATATTCTGAGCTCAAGCGATCCTCCCACCACAGCCTTCCAATGTAGCTGGGATTACAGGCATGCACCACCATGCCTCATCTGTTAAAAAAATTTTTTTTTGGTAGAGTCAGGGTCTCACTTATATTGCTCTGGCTGGTCTCAAATTCCTGGGCTCAAGCACTGTTCTTGCCTTAGCCTCCCAAAGTGCTAGAATTACTGGCATTAACCACCTCACCAACCAGGTGTTCCATGCAATGGTTTGAGAAGCAGTTCTACACAGAAGCCAGAAGGCCTGGGTCTGAATCCCAGCTCTACCAGATACTAGCTGTGTGAACTTGAGAAAATTAATTTTCTGTGTCTCTGGTTCTTTATCTATGAAATGGAGAGAATAATACCATCTACTTCACTGGGATGTTAGGAAGATTAAACCGGGGACTGACATGAAGCACTTAGAAGAGTACATGGTGCATGGTGAGCTACAGATAAGATTTGCTTAGAAGCACTTAGAAGAGTCCATGTACATAGTGAACTACAGATAAGATTTGCTATTAGCATGGTAATTTTTACTTTTTTGTATCTTGACAATTGTACACGTTAGGCAGGTGGCATTCCAATGGGAGTAGTCTCCTATAGCTGCACTGAATCATTCTTCACACCACTGAAAGTGGCAGCAAATGGGGAGCGCATAATTTATAGCTTACTTTTCTCTCCATATGACTCAGTGGGCAACAGTCATGTACGTAGTACAATGTAAACAGCACCTCCTGGATTGAGTAGTACATAACCGACATGACTAGCAGAGACAGGCTGAGCCACGGAGCTGAAAACCCTGGACTCTATTGCTAAATCAAGGCTTCTGAATCAATTCCCTCCCAGAAGCTGTTGCTGTGGCACTGCTTTCACGAGTACTCTGCTGAGCGCTCGGATTAAGGGGCTGTGCTATCATTCATCAGACAAGCTGCAGCCAGAACTGTTCAGCTGACAAACTGGCAACCATCCAGAAATACAGTTTTGGCTACATAGTGAAGGAAGGCAAATTTAGATTCTTTTTTCATACTGAGAAAAACATGAGCATTTGATTGAACAATTCTCCTTTATTAGACTAATTGGTTTTAATTTCATATTTAATTGCTAAAAATACACTTAGAATAAAAGACTTACTGTGTTAATGTCTCAAAGAAGAAATCATTGGTATGGTATATTTTGTTCTATGCTAAAAGCTGCCAAGCTAAAATATTTTCAATTTATACAAGGATAGGTGACATGCATGTCAGATATTATTTTCCCTTTAAGCAAATTTATGATGAGACAAAATTATCTTCCATCAAAAATAAAAGCCATGTCAAATTAAGGGCTAAGTTATTCTGCAGACTGGGCAACAGGTGCTGAGATGTAAGGTCAGTGAGAGTAAGAACAGTCAGAGAAAGCTTCATGAAGAGGAAATTGCCTGCCAGGTCTGAATGAATGAGGCTAGATGAGCAGGAACTGAGAAGGCAGGAAGGACAGCATGGGTAAAACTGGGGCTGACATCTGCCCAATTAATGCTAGGATAAAGTCCAATGGCAGAGAAATAAAAACATACATCCATACAATAACCTGTAAGTGAATGTTCACAACAGCTGTTTTCATAATAGCCAAAAAGTGGAAACAACCTAAAGGTCCGTCAGCTGACGAATGAATGGAAAACTGGTGTAGCCATGAAATAGACTATTATGAGACAATAAGAAGGAAGAAACTACTGATACGTGCTACAACATGGATAAAATTCTGAAAACATTCTGCTAAGTGAAAACAGCCAGTCAGAAAGGACTTCATATTGTATGACTCTATGTATATAAAATATGCAGACCATACACATCTATGGAGACAAAAGTGGACGGTGGTTGCCTATAACTGGGGTAGGTGGAGAGACATGGGGTAGGGGTAGGTGGAGAGACATGGAGAGGGGTTGCAGTCATGGCTAAGAGATGTGGGGTTGCTTTTCAGAGTGGCGAAAATGTTCTAGCATTGATTGTGCTGATGATTACACAATGCTGTGAATATACTAACAGACACTGAGTTGTACATTTTAAATGGTTGAACTGTCTGACATGTGAATTATCTCTCAGTGAAATTGTTTTAAAAATCTCATGGTAGGATCAAGATAATTTTCTCAGCTCTCTATTTTGGATGTACATGCTCTATCAGATCTGAATATTTCTATGCCATTACAGTATATTTTAAATGAAAGGAAGATGAAGGCAATGCCTAACTTTTCAAGTAGTTTGTGAATTAATCTAAAACGTGTGCATTTCAAAGAACAGTATGATGACCTTTCTGTACAAGTTAACCTAGAATCCATGAAATGAATAGGCACAGCTTCTGTGTCCATTCACAAAAGTGAAGAAATAAGACAACTTTCTGCAATATTCCATTAAACATTCTCCTCTGACTCAATCTGGCTTGCCTCACCAAGACAATAAGGAAATTATCTAAAAATACTGTTTAACAGGAAAAAAGTCAATTTTCTGTGAGGAGTGATTTATCATTCTCAACTTTCCCAAGAGTAAACATTGTAAGAGAAAACATATGCAACTATTTTTCAAAATGTCAGAACAAGAGCCAGAGTTGAAGAAATAAGTACGTTATAAAGATAATAAAATGGTAATAATCAATTATAATGAAATTACAAAAACAGGCTGTCCACTGAAATTAGTATCCTAAAACACTTTATATTATTCAACCAGCTACAGATTAATGGTCTACATGTTAAATTCCATACATACTTGACTTCCTACTTGAAATAATTTCTTCTTTGAAGCCCGTGTGTCATCCAAATTAATATGACAATGTGATGTACCTTCCAGTGGAGATTCTGACATAGAAAATTTGTTAAGGTGATCAGCCAGTTCTTCTTGAAGTCGTCTCACAATCACCTGATAAAATATTTTTGTTATCAATTTTATAAAGTGCCTTATTATTAAATTATGTTAATACTATTGAACTCTAACGTACCTACTTTGAAAATTATCACCACACACATTAATTCACCTTCTTTTCATCACATGTACACACTTTTATTTATTACTGAATTCAGTGAGGGGCACAGAAGGTGTTATCTTCCTGCCAAATCATTCTCTTACATGACAGATGGATTTAGCCCACTATTCATTCATCTTAGATCCTCAACTCAACCTGAGTTCCTCACATATTCAGTCACCTATTGAAATCCTTCCAACAGATTCCTATCTCAGAATAAAAGTAAAATTCCAATAGCCTTCAAGGCGCTAGGTAACATGGCCTCTAACTCCCTCCCTGACCTCAGCTCCTACATCTGTGTCCCGTACTCACTTCCATCCCATTCTCCATGAACTCTGCCATCCCTTATTAGTCTGAAAATGGGGATTCAATGTCAAACTCATAAATCACAGACAGCTACAAGTATCCTTGTACGGGAAAGAGTTATATCTAAATGATAGCCATTGAGACTTAAAATGTAAATTATGAGCTAATTATTCATAAAATATTCACAATAAATTATAAATACCTACCAGTGGGAACATTATATCAAATTTTTTTTTTGCTAAAATTTGTGACATTTATTCCAAATTGTGATTTTATAACAAGTAGATGTCTTTAAAATTCTAAGTGGTCAGAAAAACACATAATGTGAGACTGACATATTTTTAGACTTAAGTCACATTGGTATGAATCAAAACAAAGTTATACCAACCAAAATACATAAAAGAGAGAGTCACTAAAGGAAAAGCATCACAAGACACAGCAACAAACTTCACTTCATCTGGGAAATCTAGAATTAAAAGTGTCAAAGCGGCTCACTTAATTGAATCTTAATTTCAAAATACACATTTCAGGTACAAGCATTTCCATTTACCTGCTTCATTATGGTCTTAGAATGTGGCAACATAAAGACATTAAATTTATTATTTCAGTAGTATAAGACTACCTCCCTTATCAACATTGCTCTGTATCTACTAAAATTTCATAGGTGACATAATGTCTTTACTCAAAGGAAAACATCTGCCAGTTCTACCTTTTATTTTCTGGAAACAAAGTATGTTTCCAAGCTGATACAGTAAACATATTTTTTTGGTTTTGTATTAAAACAGCTTTGTGGAAATATGATTTTTATTAAAACAGTTTTGTTGAAATATGATTTATAGAATTTATCTGTTTTAACAAACAGTTCAAAGATTTTTAGTAAATTTACTGTGTCGTGCAACCATCTCTACAATCCAACTTTAGAACATTTTCATCACTCCAGGACAATCCCTCATGCCCATTAGCAGTCACCACCCATTTCCAGCCCCAGCCCTACACAAACATTAATCTTCTTTCTGTTCCTATACATGTATTTCCTGGATGATTCATGTAAATGGAATTATACAGTATGGTAAACACATTTTCATCTATTTATTTTTATATTGAACTAGGTTCAACATACAGCCAGAATGAAATGCTTAAATTTCTTTCCAGAAGGTTAAAAACAGTTTTCTTCATACTTACTTCTCCTTCTGCTTCTTCTTTTTCATACTGAAACAGTTTTTCTTTTAAATAATTATATTCATTCATTAATTCCGTATTTTTTTCTTCTGTAAGATCTTCCTTTCCATTCTCAAGACAGTCTTCTTGGATATTAATGACTATCTCTTTATTATTGCCTTCCTTATAAACATCCTTTAGTTGTTGTTCAAGCAATAGATTTTCAAGTTCTTGTTGATGTATTCTCTCCTCTAATGAGTTCTGCTTTCCAAAGGACTGACTTTCTTTAGCTTCCTCATTTGGATGCATCTGCTTCATTTCCTTTAATCGATACTGCGCTTGCTTTAGGTCCATCTGTACACTTTCTAAAGCCAGTGTCTTTTCCCTGAGAGCATCTCTTGTCTCATGAAGCTTACCTTTTAAGGTATTGAACTTCACCCGAGCTTTAGAAAGTTGTTTGGTAAGCAACTCATTCTTATCTGTTAATTGAGAAATATTGGAATCCATTTTTTCATGTACAGAAACATCATCTGCTCTCCATAAAACTAGTTCCAGGTCTTTTCTTTCCAAAATTTCATTGTACTCATTTATAGCAGTGGCCAGGCTAGAATGGAGGGATTCAACTTCAGCTTCTAGTCTTTCTTTGCTGTGTTTTTCCTTTTCCAATTTTGAATTCAGCCTTGTATTCTCAGCTTTCAGTTCATTAAGCTGTTGCGAATACTGGGCCGTTGTTTTTGTTATCATTTCGTCATTGAGTCTTACACTCTTTTCAAAGTTAGCATTCATTTCTGTAATACTTTTAATTTCCTGAATATATTCTTTTTCCTTTCTGAGACTGTCATTTTTTATTGTGTATAATTCCTGTTTGAGCATGGCAATGTCTCTCTTCAACATGTAATTTCCATACATCACATCCTTCTTTCTTCCATAACTTTGAGAATCCTAAATAAAACAAAACAAATTTTTAGCTAGCACTCAACAAAATAACATATCATGGTTATTTCTGAAGTGAAAGAACAACCTGTACATTCATGGAATTAAAAGTTGCTGTAAGTGGATATCAAACTGGAGAAAAAGTTGAAGTAAAACCTTGAACCTTAGCATACATTTCAAAAAGTTCAAAAATTCATTTGATGTCAGGCCGGGCGCGGTGGCTCAAGCCTGTAATCCCAGCACTTTGGGAGGCCGAGATGGGCGGATCACGAGGTCAGGAGATCGAGACCATCCTGGTGAACACGGTGAAACCCCGTCTCTACTAAAAAGTACAAAAAAACTAGCCGGGCGAGGTGGCGGGCGCCTATAGTCCCAGCTACTTAGGAGGCTGAGGCAGGAGAATGGCGTAAACCCGGGAGGCGGAGCTTGCAGTGAGCTGAGATCCGGCCACTGCACTCCCGCCTGGGCAACAGAGTGAGACTCCGTCTCAAAAAAAAAAAAAAAAAAAAAAAATTAAATTTATTTGATGTCAATGAATCCATAAAAGTAAACACACACACACACTCTGAGAATTTTTAAGAATATCAGAATTGGAAAAACCTTTCTCTGAATTACAACAAACTCAAAGCATAAAGTTAAATGTTAAAAATTTTGACTAAAATCTTGAAAAAAGAAAATTGCATTTATACTCTGATATCTAACCCAAGAGCTTTACCTCCACATCTATTTGGACAGATAAAATCTCTCAAAGTTTTAAAAGTTCTGTTTCTCTGATCATATTCTATTGTGATTTGACTCAACATTTTTTAGTCAGTTGTAAGAATTACATTTACTAAATCATAAATCTAGACATTGTACTAAGCACTTCTACATACATACATTGATTAACTTATTTAATCATCACAATCCTTAAAGAAGAGAGGTTAAAAATATAAGCAAGCTGCAGGATTTTCCTCAGGGCTTCTGATTCTACTTCTAGTTCTCCATCAGATCACAGGTACTTCTGTGGTGTAAATGTATCAACACAAAAACAGAGAAACAAAAAGACACAGGCATAAAATGTGTCTTCTGTCTTTGTCACCTGGATTCTCCATGAAATAGCCAGATTGAGAGGATGTGACATGTGGGGCTTCAGAAACAGAAAAGAAGCTTTCCCTTTTCAGCACTAAGCTATTCTTTTCCCCACTGCTTGTTCTCCTTATTTTTTCATTTGGATCCTGGGATACCAAAAAAGTGAAGGTGCGCACTGAAATAGAGGAACCAAAGTTTGCCACAACACAAGGAGCCGAGTGAAACTGCTGAGTTGCTAGTGCAGAATCCTGGAAAATGAGATGTTCCTCAAATTTACATTCACTTACCACAAAAGTTTATAGCTGGAAGATATACAGTATAGTTGTCCACTCTAGCCCCATTATCTACTTGATAAGGGAAGTAAAACCAAGAAATATTAAGTAACTCACTCAACGCTCCTAAGGTGGCATTACCTAGCATTTCGTGGCACCAAAAGGGAAGATACAATTACATGTTGCTGAATTACATAAATTACCAGATAAATGCATTAAATTCATCAAATAAATTAAAGGTGTGACTTTGGCAAAGCAATTTAATGGCTCAGAGGGTGGTGGGAGGCCTCATCTGCTTTTACTTTGAAAGAAAAATCTCTAGATTTTTGTCTATCTTTAGAACACAATGTACAGAACTCAGCCTTCTACTACAGAGTCAAATGCTAAATTTTTGGCTGAGGAGTTATGGTACTTATATGATAAAATCATACATCTCAAAACCTACCATATTTTATGAAACAACATCATGTAAAAGTCTGATTCAACAGAAACATTGGAGAGTGATGATTTTTTTAAATATGTGAAAGTATATAGATTTGTTTCCAAAATTATTTAAAGTGGCCATGATGGAATTATAAGTTTAAACAGTTTGAGTCAAACAGATAAACCTGCATGCATGAAGCACATTAAACAGACGTCTTTGGCTGGAAATATTTGTTGCAACTCTCAAGGTCAGACACATTTTCATGTCTCTTCTCAGTCATTGCTTCCCTCCCATTGTATTACCATTTTATCATTTAAATAAATGTAATTCATATTAAAATGAATATAGAAAAAAGAATCTAGACATTATTTCTTTAGCAATTTCCCTTATGCTTATCTAGTTCAGAAGGTCACATGGTATATGGTTAAATAATTTTCCCAGCGCATATGCCACTTGGAAGACTCATAGTGAGACTTAAGTTGATGAATGAGCAAAGATTATGGGAATTTTTTCCAGAACTGTTATTTAGATAGCAGCACTAATCTACTTTGACACGTAACTACACATTTAGATAACCCCACTGTAACTATATACATGAGATTTTCTTGAGTAGAGAACCAGAAAGAATCAGATAACTTATAATAAGAGAAGCAGCAAGGGAACCTCTTTCTTTTTATAGTTGAACTTCTTTTCTTCAAAGCCAGGACCTCTACTTGTAACAACCCCACCTCATTCTTAAGCCTTTGCATATCTTGCTGTAAGTCTTCTTCTAGATATGCTTTTGATGTTCTGTCACTATGTGGTGGAGAATAACTCACATTTTCTAATTCGGGTTTCATGTTTTTATAGATATTAGCAGTGGGACTGTCACATGTGGGTCCCTGAAACACACTTGCCAGTCATCTTCAAAGCTTTAGAAGAGCTTCTAAGTTCCATATGGCTTGTGGAACAAGCGCTGTATTGGTTTTCGGTTTTTGTAAGTGTCTGTAACAGCAGAAATACTGTAGCTTTCTATCCGTATTACATGCTTCAATTCTTTGAAGTGAGCAAACCACAAACCAAAAAGACTTTTTGCATCTCTAGACTGAGGCCAATGTCTAATGTCTAATTTCCAATCTGTGGTATTTCGGGTTGTATTTTCTTGTCATTTGAATATCAAACTCTTGGTCTTCTTTCATTTCAGCCATAACTACTGGGTTCCTTAATTTTTCAATTTCTGTATCATTACAACAATTCTCTTTCTTCTTCATCTCTGTGAGAAATGGCGACATGTCTGGTTTGTTACAATTTTTACAGTCTGATTTATTTTCATTTGAATAAAGCTTAGAAGACGACTGGCAAGTGTGTTTGAGGGACTCTGAGTGTAAATGCAATGACAAGACCTGAGTGAGATGGGCTCGTTCTGTTCAGGCAATGCCTGGAATACTAGAGAGTTAAGACACTCCAGGTGTATCTGCTTCCTCAGGGATATTATCAGGGATATGATTCATCAGATTACGGGGCACTCCATTTAACTTTGTCCCTCTTTAGGTTTACAATGTAAGAGCTCTTCCTCAGGACAAACAGTAATTTTGGATTTTTCAAAACTTTCAACAATCTTCAGTTGAACTTTTTTGTAATGAATTTTTTTTTTGAGATGGACTTTCACTCTTGTTGCCCAGGCTGGAGTGCAATGGCATGATCTTGGCTCAACACAACCTCTGCCTCCCAGGTTCAAGCGATTCTCCTGCCTCAGCCTCCCGAGTAGCTGGGATTGCAGGCATGTGCCACCACATCTGGCTAATTTTATATTTTTAGTAGAGACGGGGTTTCTCCACATTGGTCAGGCTGGTCTCAAACTCTCAACCTCAGGTGATCCGCCCGCCTAGGCCTCCCAAAGTGCTGGCATTACAGGTGTGAGTTTTTGTAATGAATTTTAAAGGAAGTCCTGAATATACAGATATATCGTCTTTATTACAATTTTTACCCAGTTCTGGTTCTTGAGACTTTTTTTTTTTTTTTTTTTTGCAGGTGCAAAAGTGAAAATTAATTTGCTTCTTTTGTTTCTCAGATGTCTTTTCTGACAGGGTGCATGTTTTAAAATTAACTCTAGTCTCAATTAAGTATGAACAAAGAAAAAATAGAAAATAATTAAAATTGAACTGTGAAACTTAATCTATGTTTTACTACCCCTAAGTTACTGGATTATAACTAAGAAGTAAAAAATAATTTGCCTTGGCTTAATATAGGAGAAAAACATGAGTCAGGAAGCTTAACTCTGTTTGTTTGGAATAAACTTAATTCATTATGAATTAAATCTGACAGAAATGGGTTCACAGATGATATGTAGTATTCTACAGGCTTTTTCTCTCTTCAAAGGATTTTTACCTCAGCATACCCTAAATAGTGAACCCCTACAGTGAATTAATATCTCTGAGGATTAACTAAAGAGTTGGCAAATGCTAAATTATTAGAAGCCAAAATGAATACCAATCAGAAAGACAAGAAAATTTTTAGATTCTACTTCAAATATTGTACTGTAATATGACAGTGTTATCTAGAAAGTTATCTGCTTATATCCAGGTCTAATATATTCTAAGCTCCACTAGTGACAGTGGGTTAAAAAATTTTAATAGCATTTTCTATTTATGTTAAAACAAGAAAGTTATTGTTTGTACCCTGACACCAAAGTCCCTTTCTGGAAGGCATGATTCTCTCAATAGGCAGTTGGGCTGATTTTATGAACCCATCCTCTCCCTAAACATAGACACTGAAGGCAACCAGAAACCAAAAAACAGACGAAGTCTTTAACCTCAGCACTGGTGACCAGCAACACAAAACTGCAAAGTTCGAACCACTGGGAACCACTCCTTTAACATGAGGTGAACTCAGGGGCCATCACTGTCCAATTGTTCATAATTTCTCTTGCTTAGTAATACAACTCCATTTCTGATGTTACCTTCTTTATCATGAAGAAGGTTATAAAAATAAAAGAGCAAAGCGACTTCTGGAAATTTCTGGCCTCAATTCCAAGGGTACAGATAGCTATGAGTTACTACAGACTGTAAGAATATTTTAAATTTTATAACTGGCTAAAATGTTTTAAAATTCAATATGAAATTACGCTCTGTTGGATTCTAAAAGGATAGCCTATAAGGTCACTTCATTTGGACTATGCTATGGTATTAAAGAAAAACAAACAAACAAACCAATAGTAAACCAGAAATTTAAATTGCTATATACCTGTGGCTGTTTATTTCCACTTCTTTCAAGCCTTTCTTGCTTTTCCTCTGAAGCCACTTTTAAGTTGTGTTCTGCTGACAAATCCATATGTTCAGTTAAAATGAATGACTTAGAATAAAGACTATAATCTTTATTAAAATGGATACAAAATAACATACTTTTATTTTATAAATTGAGAGTTTAAATGAAGCTAAATGTTTATTGGAATATTTACATTTTTAAGAAGCACTTCTAATTACCTAAAACTTTAACAAACCACTTGGGGAGACACTAGATATCAGCAGGTTCAAGACATGCAAAAGTCTCAGGGTCACCCACAAATTATTCTACCCAATGTAAATAAACAAAACTGCTGGAAACAAAACAAAATTTAAAAATACAGTGAAAACATATAAAGTAACACTTTACCATTCTCTACTTCATAATAGTATCTTTTAAACAACATGCTAAGTTGTTATTTACTAATAATCTGCAAAATTTTTGTTACTGTTACACCTTTATAATGTACACCCTGTTTTTTACATCTGAAATGTTTTCCTCTACTATTCTGATAAATGTATTTTTGTGTTGTAAGACTCAGAATGTAGGCTGGGCACAGTAGCTCACACCTGTAATCCCATCACTTTGGAAGGTCCAGGTGGGATAACTGCTTAAAGCCAGGAGTTTAAGGCCAGTCTGGAGACCATAGTGAAATCCTGACTCTACAGAAAATTTGCCAGGTATGGTGGTGTGTGCCTGTAGTCCCAGCTACTCAAGAGGTTGAGGCAAGAGGATCCCTTAAGCCCAGGAGTTTCAGTTTGCAGTGAGTCTCGATCATGCCACTGCACTCTACCCTGGATGACACAGTAAGAACTTGTTTCCAAAAACAGAAAGAGAAAAAAGGAAAAAAGGCTCAAAATGCTATGTGAAGTCCTCCTTGAATCTGGCTATCTTTCTCCACATACACAGGCTCTCCGTCCTTGGGGCTCCCTTAGTCCATTTTTCTAGTGTCCATTTTTCTAGTGTCACTTCACCAACTGAACTGCGCATCATGTTTTTGCACGTCTATCCCCTTTGTTGCTAGACTGTAGCAATCATCTTTGTATAAAGTCTTTATTTTACTAAATGTTTAATTGAGTTCCTGCTAAGTGGTAGGCACTGGGGTTTAAAGAATGAGAATAAAAGCTGTCAGGGATGGTTTTTCTAGAGATCATGCATAGGCTGAGACTTAGACAGTGAGGTTCACCAGATTAAAAGAGGCAGAGGGCAGGAAAGATAGTACATGCCAGGCAGTGGCAAGAGAGGGAGAGAAGTTTCCCAGAGTGTATGTATTTGTCTACATGAGAGGGATGGTGACGGGGGCATCACCAGCAGCTCAGTAATGCCAGAAAAAGAGGCAGACAGAGAAAGGGCTGCAGATGGAGATTTGGGCAGAAGCCAGTTTCTGAAAGCCTTATATAAACCAACTATTACTGTTGTTTCTTAAATTTATAAAAAAAGCAAAACAAATTAGAAACGCATAATTCCAAGAAAAAGACCAACATTTTACTTTATTGTATCTTATCCTATTTGACTTGATTTTTCTTAGAGATGGGGTCTCACTCTGCCACCTAGGCTACAGTGTAAGGTTGCTATCATAACTAACTGCAGGATCAAACTTCTAGGCTCAAGTAATTTTCCTGCTTTAGCCTCCCAAGTAACTGAGATCACAGGGGCAGAACACCACACCCAGCTACAGATTTTTAAAAAATAGACACAAGATTTGGCGATGTTGCTCAGGCTGCTGGACCTCCTAGCCTCAAGGGATGCTTCTATCTCAGCCTCCAACACTGACAAGATTACAGGCAGGAGCCACCATCCCTGGCAACACCAATATTTTCAAATGAATAAACTGGAGCTCCATCATTTTATTTTATCATGGATGGGTGAAAACCTTGTAATAGACTCATGGACTCCATGGATTTGTGACAAGGAAACTATAGCATTAACTATGGCTGAAGCTTCCCTTGTCTCCCAGTCTCTTCACATGGTTAAGAGCAGAGACACTCAAGTGTCTTACCTTTTGCACCTTCTTTCCTTTTTTTCAAATTTGCAGGCTTCACAGCTGCTGTTTCTGCCAAACATGCAAGCTTGTTAGCTATTCCTTCTAGAAAACATCATCCCTCTGCCTCCTTACCTGGCAAAGTTTCACTCACTCTGCATGCTTCCCCTAAATCCTACCCATTTTTTTAGAAGCTTGCAGTCATCACCACAAAGTTAAAAGTGCATGGCATCTAATGAACACAATAAATTTCTAGTAAATAATAACTATATGCTCCCAGGTGACACCTATCCTCCATCTACCTTCTACAAAATGGGTCAGCACACTGCAGACCACACGCCAAATCCTGCCTACCATAAGTTTTTTCTCAGTAAAGTTTTATGAGAGTACAGTCATGCCTATTCACTGACATGCTGCCTATGACTGCTTTCACACTACAATGGCAGGGTTGAGTAGCTACGACAGAGATCACATGGCCTTCAGCTGCTTAAATCATTCTTGAAAGAGAGAGAGAGAGAGAGAGAAAGAGAGACCACATGGCCTAAAATATTTCCTATTTGGCCCTTTACAGAAAAAGTTTGCCAATCCCTGCTTTATACCCTGAACAGAATGCCCTAATTCTCAAATTGAATCTAATGCCTCCCCTGCTCACAATTTTCCAATGAATTTCTAGAGCAAACACTGCTGGCTCCCTACCCAAGAGCAGTTCCTTGTTGTTTCTTGCTGGAGAATCACAAATCTATTTGGATATTTATTATCTCAATACTCCTCTCCAGCTTCAAAAGGTAAGTGATTATTCAAAGCTAATCACATAACCACATTTGCTTTCCCAGTGCCTGGTTTAGGAATGAGTATGTGGTGTGATCCAGCTAATAAAATTTTACAAAAAGGGCTGAGCACGGTGGCTCATGCCTGTAACCCCAGCACTTTGGGTGGCCGAGACAGGCGGATCACAAGGTCAAGAGACCGAGACCATCCTGGACAACAAGGTGAAACCCCGTCTCTACTAAACATAGAAAAATTACCTGGGCTTGGTCGCACGTGCCTGTTGTCCCAGCTCCTCGGGAGGCTGAGGCAGGAGAATTGCTTGACCTTGGGAGGTGGAGGCTGCAGTGAGCCGAGATCGTGCCACTGGACTCCAGACTGGCGACAGAGAGAGACTACATCCCCCCCCAAAAAAAAAAAAAAAAAATACAAAAAGTCCCCTGCAAGGTTCTGAGTTTTCTCCCAATTTAAAAGACACATGTGAAGAAAAGCAGCCCTTCCAGCCTTTAGATACTGTCTTGTGAGAACATGATGTTTGGAGCTGTTGCTAAGTAGCCAACCATGAAAGGAGACATGAACAAGACACTGTCAACAGCATAGCTGAAAGAGGAACACGTGGGATCCAATAATATCACCGGACAACCAAAACAAGTCTGGTTCTTATGGTTTGGCCACTGTTATGTCCTCTAGTATCTGCAGCCAAAAGCATTCTACCTCAGAAGTTTCCCCTGGCCTACAGGATAAGATCTACTCAGTTCTACACTATTAAAAGTCTTTTACGGGACTTGTTTCTAGACACAGGTAAACCAACAACAAAGTCTCTCCTAAGCCTGCCTTCACTGACACATACTAAACACGATAAATACGTAATAAATAATAACTGGAAGCTATTTTCACCTCATTACCAAGCTCTCCATATATATTTTTTTGCACTAGTAAATTTGAACTGCTCATAAACTCTACAAAGTTCACTCAGGTGTCCTATCTTTTGAACTTGCTCCTCGTGTTTTAAAACTTTCATTCCTCGTGGCTGCTGCTTCTGTCAAACATGCAAGCTTGTTAGATACTCCTTCTGCCAAGCATCATCCCTCTGCCTCCTTACCTGGCAAAGTTCCACCCACTCTGCACGCTTACCCTAAATCCTACCCACATTTTAGAAGCTTGCATTCATTACCACAAACATAAACGTGCTTGGCACATACTGAACATGATACATATGTAATAAATAATAACTATAAGCTCCCAGGTGACATTGGACATACAGTAAGCACTATTTAAGGTGGTAAATAAATAACAGTGGTAATAACAATCTCCTAACTGTATTTTTTAAATGTATTTTGTAACATTGGAAAAATGCTTAGTCTATAAAAGATATATGATAGTTATTTTTTAAGTGGACAAGTATATGAATGAATTAAAATATTTTTCTTAAAAAGTCTGTTAAAAAACACAAAAATTAAATAGTTATCTATATTCTAATATTCTATTACGAGCACCTTAAAGACAAAAACTACGTCAATTCCATCTTTGTCTCGTGCATTTGCCAAACCTAACTTATAGAAGTGGTTTGATAAATATATACTAAATTAACGGTGTCTTTATACAGTTCAGACTGTACAACACATTAGGTGTTATACTTTTGTTATTGTGAACCATTTTTATAATTTTATTATAATTTTAAAAAATTTTTTGAGCCTAGAGTTTGGCTATTGGAATATTTATTATGATCATCTCTTGCCTAATGGTTACCAGAGGTTTTTTTTTTGTTTTTTTTTTTTTGTTTTTTGAGATGGAATCTTGCTCAGTCACCCAGGCTGGAGTGCAGTGGCACGTTCTTAGCTCACTGCAATCTCCACCTCCAAGGTTCAAACAATTCTCCTGCCTCAGCGTCCCGAGTAGTTGGGAATATGGGTGCCCACCCCCATGCCTGGTTAATTTTTGTACTTTTAGTAGAGATAGGGTTCCACCATGTTGGCCAGGCTGGTCTCAAACTCCTGACCTCAAGTGATCTGCCTTCCTTGGCCTCCCAAGTGCTGGGATTACATGCATGAGCCACCACGCCCAGCCTGGTAACAGATTATCTTGTCCCAACAAAATTACTATTATTATAATTATCCAGCATATAAAAAAACACAGCTTGTTCTAAGAAGTGAATATATCTCATGAGGTTCCAACTTAGGGTGAATAAATTAAAAGTAGACCTTGTTTGCATAAGAATATGTAACATAATTTCTGCTTCTTGGGAAGGAATTACTTTTCTGTCTTCTGCATTCAGTAGGTATCTTCAGAAATAATCTCCTATTTGTATGGGTGCACAATGGCTCAGTTTTATGGTTCTTATTGCCATTTGTTTATGGTATCAGAAAGGGATTGTTGAATTTCCAGTTCTAAAGACAGTTACTTTCTTAGTGACACAAATTCCTGTGTAATACCCTTGACCCTGAACAATAAGAGTTTGAACTGCAGGGGTCCACTTATATGCAGATTTTTCTTCTGCTTCTGCAACCAAGAGACAGCAAAACCAACCATTTTCTTCCTCCTCAGCCTAATTAACCTGAAGATGATGAAGATGAAGACCTTTGGGAGGATTCACTTATGTTTATGAATAGTAGGTATGTTTTTTTCTTTTCTATGATTTTCTTCGTAACAGCTTCATTTCTCTAGCTTATTTTATTCTAAAAGCATAGTATATAATAATGCAACACATACCAACTATGTGTTCATCGACTGTTTATGTTATCAGTAAAGTTTCCAGTCAATGGTAGGCTATTAGTAGTTATGTTTGGAAGGAGTCAAAGTTATACTCAGATTTTCAACTGCACAGGGATCAGAGTCCCTAACTCCCACAACATTCAAGAATCAACTGTAATTAACATTTATTTACTAAATATAAACCATTTACTATAAAAGTTAAATAGAAGATCCATTTGCATAACAAGTGCAATTTGTAACAATGTAATTATAGAGGAAAATGCAACATGTTAACTTAAAAATCTAATTTCTTATTTATATTAATACAAAAATATAATGTAGAATTTCAGGGATCATAAACGAATTTTTTTCAGAGAATACTGTTTGAGATTGAGAACTAACTTCTTAAATAACTGAATTCTAAACTAAAGAAATTAAATTTAAAAAATTAATTTATACATAAATATACATATTTTAAACTGCTCTTTTATGATTAAAAATACGTAATCTTACTTTTTTTGGTTTTTTTTTTGGAGACAGAGTCTCGCTCTTTCATCCAGGCTAAAGTGCAGTGGTGCCATCTCAGCTCACTGCAACCTCCACTTCCTGGGTTCAAGTGATTCTCCTGCCTCAGCCTCCCAAGTAGCTGGGATTACAGGCGCCCGCCACCATGCCCAGCTAATTTTCGTATTTTTAGTAGAGATGGGGTTTCACCATGTTAGCCAGGCTGGTCTCAAAATCCTGACCTCAGGTGATCCACCCGCCTTGGCCTCCCAAAGAGCTGGGATTACATGTTTGAGCCACCACGCCTGGCCTGTAATTTTGCTTTTTAAAATCAGTAAGACCACCAAGAGAAATGAGAAATTTACTATCAGAAGTCTTACCTTGATTGTCATTTCGAAGATGATTTTTAAGTATCTTATTTTTATGTTCCAAAATTTGTTGTTGAATGCTATGCATAATAAATGTAATAAATAAAATTAGTATTTTAATAGTGATATGAAAAATATTTACCAAACATATTAAATTCTTAAAGCATTTCAGACAATATCAGAGCTAATATCAGAACTCTAATGTCCAATACACTTTAAAATTTTAAGCTATATAAACTTATTAAGCTTCTAATTAAAGACGAAAAACAGGAAGCACTCAAAAACTGAGAAAAACATAGCTCAGTAAGTTAATTCTAGTTAGCTTAACAGCCTGGAAACTGTCCTGCACTCAGAGTAAGTCCTCGCTCTGTGACCAATAGGTATTTTGTTTTCAGACCAGTTGCTTCTCTTAGGCGCCACAGCTTCTTCTAAAAAACAAAGATTTTACTACTTGACTTCACTAGGTTGTTAGGAGGATGTAATGAGGTAAAATGTTTAAATGTTCGGAGAAATAGTAAAGCAATGGAAAAATTTATTCTTGAGCTGCATTGCTGGAACAATTTTGGAATCTCAAATAAAACCTGATGAGTGTTTTTTCATAGGTTCTAATATTTGAATGTCACAGTTTTCAGAGAATATTATTAAGTGCTAATTTTGGTTATTAGTTCTATTCATTGTGGCTTATAGTTCAGAGCATTTTAGCTAGCTCATAACTTATAACTAAATTTATATATAAATATATTATTGTCTCATTAAAACATATAACCTAATTGTCCCCTATTACTGAGCTCATCAATCACACCAAGGGCAGAAAACTAATAGATGTCAAAACCTGGCTGGGACAACTACCATTCCTTCTCTACCTCCTCAAACTCAGAGTCAGCAGGTCTGTGTTAGAGGCTGCATCTTCTGGGTCCTCTCCGACTGACACACAAGACAAAGCCTTGCTTGTATTGTTTTTCAGTTCCATGAAAGAGATGCAAGTTGATGTTTCTTCATTTTCAAGTCATGTACTAACAACATATTTGCATGTAACATCCCATATGCCACTCAGCTCTGTTCTCATTTCACAGATCACCTTACATGAATACTTCTATAATGTTCATAATAATTTCCATATCAGGTGTCTCCTGTTTTGGTTTGACTCACATTGTTTCCTTGAAGCTAGTTAACAAATAGTCAAATGACCTTCTGGGGACTGTGCAACATGTGGAATGCTTTCTGAATTTGTGTGCCATCCTTAGGCAGCAGGCATGCTTATCTGTTCTGTATTGATCCAATTTTAGAATATGTGCTGCTGAAACAAGTATAAAGCCCTGTTTTATACACGGATACTCAAAAGTCATGGATGAGGCTTAGCTCTGTTAAATCCAAATTACCTACTTTAGATACAGAGAATTCTGTTGAATGACTTCCTGTGAGGTAGAATTTTAAAATATTTTAAAAACTTGAGGTGGAGATGCAAAGAGCCTGACAGGTTTTCACTATTATGGAAACACATTACTTGAGGGGCCAACTCCAAGTTGGTGCTCATTACTCTACTGAAGGATAATGTGGAACATTCTGCTATCTAACAAAAGGCTACACGGGACAGAAAAAAGGCTCAAGGTACAGATGTGACAACAAAAGGCAAAGGGACCTCTGCTCTCTTCCTGCAACATTATTTGAACATCCCTGACTGTTGAGTGCAATCCAACTAGTGTTTGCTAGAGAACAGATGGACACTGGTCTCAAAGGATAACATACCATGAAGGTATAGGCTAGGCCAAGCTAAGACGTGGGCTACAAATAAGGTTTTTAGTATTAGGGAGAAGGTCAATTTACTCACTACGTGTGTGGGTAAAGCTAGGAGGCCTTTCTGCCAGAGCAGGGTCCTGGGAACAATGGCTGAGCCTATCTATGTACATGAACTAAAAAACACTGTAGCTGTGGACACTGTGTATGAGTCATCATGAAGAGAGAGGGATCTGAATCAGTATGGGCATCCTGGTGCCAAAAGTCAATCATTACCAGATTGCAGGACAAGTTACAATGGCAGCAATACAGCAAGTGAATCAATGGAAACAACAGAATGACTAGAACAGCCTTTCCCCCTCTTCTTCTGACTTGTAAAGCAAGATTGTCTTCCTTGGACTTAGGGAACCCCTTAGCTTTTTGAAAAATCCAAAGCAGGAAGGCATAAGAGATAGCCCCAGGGAATAAATACAAGATTTTCTGCTAAACTGGACATTTCAAGACCCAACAACTAATTTGGAAAGTCAGGCCAGCCACGGTGGCCTTTGCGAGGCCGAGGCAGGAGAATCACTTGAGCTCAGGAACATGGGCAACATAGTGAGACTTTGTTTAAAAAAAAGAAGAAGAAAGAAGAAAGAAAAAAAGAAAGTAAAAGATGTGCCATTATTTATGTCTCACATACAAGAGTAATACTTGGAATGAAATGAACAACACTGAGATCCCTAGGGATAAAGGTCTTCAAAGATTCTGAAAGAATCTTGCACTCATTGCTACTTCTAACTAGTCTAGCTTTCTGTTTGATTTCTGGCTAAAAAGTGGATTAACTTGTTGCCATTCCAAACTACTTCAACCAAACTATGAACTCTCACCTAATGTATAAGATGCAATATTTGTAATTATTTTAAACCTTAATGTAGTATTAACCTAATATAAGAATATACCTTCTCAAATCACAACAAACAGCATAATCCTCAGCAGTTTGGCCAAACATGTCTTGAGAAAAGATATTTATATTTTGCTGAAGGAGGAGGCTGACGATACTTGATGAGCTATGCTGCACAGCAAGCATGAGGGCTGTTCTAAAATAACAAAGAAATAACAGCACTCAAGAACTTTAATAAAGATATTTAATTAGCAAATTGGATACACTTTACCGATTTCATATCTTGCCTCTCAGGATAGACATAATAACCATTTACATGTACTAGCTTATGTGTATAAGCATCTTGGGTGCTCAAGTGTTCATCTTGGTAAATTACCACCAAGGCTAGAAGACAGGGACAACAAGGAAGCTTCTTGTCCCAGTGGGATATGACATAATACAAGCTCTTAATTTATAATCCTTTGATGGCCAAGAAACTGTGCTAAGGTCACTTATCTAAAATAGGCAAAGATTTAGATGACGATTTCCCCATTGCTTTCCTAGTCTGATATATTGTAATTCAAAGTCAGCTAGGGATCAAACAAGTAAGAGCTATCTGCAGGCTGAAAACAACAGCAACAACAACAATAACAGTGATAGTAGTTGTTGTAAACTGAAAGTTAAAGTCTATGCTTTATAAAATTAAGAAAATACAAAACCCCTTTAGTTATTATTACAAGACCAAAAACATCAGATTACAAATAACAGTCTATAAGAAAAGATGAATCCTACTATATACTGTTTTTGATGTTGCTCAGTCCAAATAACTGCTTTTCTACCTAACTGATTATTTGTATTATTTTTTACTATATGTCAATAATTATAAGTGAATCTTATTAACATTTCTTACTTGAGTTACCACTCCAGAACACTCAGGTTTTTAGGAAATAAACAAAAAACAACAAAAAAAACCAAAAACTATTGCACCTTCTGAAATTGTCAACGGCATGTATATTTGCCTGGTTCTTCAATAAAAATTCCACCATTTGCTGTCTCCTAGAATTTATAGCAAACAAAAGTGGAGTGTTTCCCTCCTGTAAGAAAGCAAAAACAATTTATAATTCACAAAATTACATATTTCTCAACTGAACTAAAAATCTTCTATAAGATGCTATGAACTTAAACTTACAATATAGAAAGAAAGTAAATGCAAAGCAGTCCCTTCCTTTTCACTCCTCTGTGCTTTCCCACACACTGCCTTGCAAACACCCCTCCTCTGCCTCCCCACATTAACTTCAGTCATCTCCAAAACTCACTTTATTTACCAGTACCAAAAATCCTTGCTTCTATCTCAGCATTTAGCACAGTACATTGTAATTATTTCATTGTTTCCCACTGAAACCAAGAGCTTCTTGAGGGCAAGGGCTGTATCTTTTTTCTCTATAACCCTAAAACCTAAGACATAGTAGCAAATGCTGTAAGTTTTTAAAATAAATTAATGATTTAAATTATCTCTAGAGCAGTGTTTCTTAAACTACATTTCAAAGAATATTTGTTTTACCAGAAGAACTGTACCCCAACGAAAAGGTTCCATGATCATCTGCATTTGAGAAGTATTACAAAACTGTATTACATGGCCAAAAATCTAGAAATCCCTTGAACTTTGCCTAATCTCAATTTGACAATACTTTTTGTGGCAAACATTAACACTTTAGGAACTAGAGTTTCAGGGACACAGTTGTCAGAGCTTTGCAATACAAGTGTAGGTTTCCTCTGGGTGGTACAAACTTGCTTGATTCACTTGCATCAATGGTGTCAGGATGTCAATGTCAGGCACTCCTGATGCAAAGGGGCTACTAAAGAAATGAGCTCTGAATTAAGAGAGATTGGCTTCAAATGCACTTATTTTCCTTACTATTAAATAGTGCATGGGATTTTTCCTAATACAAGAGGATAGATTTTTATCTTAACTTAGAAAGTTCAGTATGTTCTGTGTAATACAGACCAGTTAAAAATTTTTGAAAATAAATATTAAAAAGCAAAGCTCAGTAAGAAATTTTATTCTCAATTATAATGATAATCCTGGGATCTAATGCAACTTTACTTTTTAAATCCATTTGTATTGGTTTCCATTTAAATTGCTATTTAACATTATTTTTTTACTTTAGGCAAAATATAAATCAGAAATAAAAATACAATGGCTTCTCAATAAAAGTTCTAATACTGATGTACAGGGCTTATTTCTAGCATAACAAAAGCCAGTAAGTTATTTGCTTTTTTGTTGTTTGTTTTGAGACGGAGTCTCACCCTGTCGCCCAGGCTGCAGTGCAGTGGTGGCATGATCTCCCCTCAATGCAAGCTCTGCCTCCTGGGTTCACGCCATTCTCCTGCCTCAGCCTCCCAAGTAGCTGGGACTACAGTTGCCAGCTAATTTTTTGTATTTTTAGTAGAGACAGGGTTTCACCATGTTAGCCAGGATGGTCTGGATCTCCTGACCTCGTGATCTGCCTGCCTCGGCCTCCGAAAGTGCTGGGATTACAGGTGTGAGCCATCGTGCCCAGTCGTCACTTGCATTTTTAAGGGACATTGCTGAGAAGAAAGATATAATGTCTGCAATATTCATAATCTATCCACTTCTCAGCAGGCATAACCTAAAAAAGGCTTCTAGGCATTCTTATGAGAGATGACTATTTGTGGTATAGATATAAAAAAAGAGTTAAACTTCTGAATTCTAAAATCCAACTCTATAATTGAGGGATTTATATAAACTATAGACTATATATTATGAACCAATATATGCTGTCTTGAAAAACTTGATATCTTTATGAAAATATACTATAAAAAAGGAGTTGTAAACTCAAATACTTGTAAGGATGAAGGAGGTTACCTAAGTAAGTGAAGTACTCAGGTGTGCACAGTAGCAAACTGGAGAATATGTGCCTCCTACACAGGGCAACCTCTGCACAGCAGACTAAGCACTGATGCAGTTCAGGGGACACTAGATTTGATTCTGAAGCCTGAGGTCCAGATTTCTGCATGAGTCTACTAAATTTTACATGTTGACTCAATTTAAAGAGGCAAAGAACAAATCTATGTGCCACATGTAGACTATAACCCTTGTGTTTTTATATTTGCTATGAATGTGTTACTAAATTGTGTATAAACCAAGTATTTGCATGTGGAACTTTTTCCTTCTCTAGTATCATATGTTTAATAAAAAAACTCAGGCCCTGAAATATACATAATAAAAATTGCTGTTAAGACTCATAATACCCACCTCAAGAATTTTCCCAACATTTATTCATTTGCAATCTATGTGTATATCATTTTCCCAGATTGTTAACCAAATAGGTAATTAGTTCATAGGACTGCGGAAACTAAATTATTAAAAGAATTTCTATTGTATTCTCACTGACTTCAAGGATTTCAGTGTTTAAAACTGACATCCCGATTATGCCAAAGCTCTATAAACTTAACAGACACACTGAGATAGTCCCTAACACAACTTCAACTGAAAAAAAAAAAGGTTCAGGATTTGCTACTAATCTAATTGAGAAAATCTCACTTGTAATGAACATTTGTTGACACATAATCACTAGAATGGTGACAGAGTAACATGAAATTGTGAAAGGGTCAGCCTCTACTTATTGAAAGATTACCCACAAGCAAATTGCTGAAGACTCTCTGAATGGCAGTAAATGATTCATGGTGGGAAGGAAAGGGTGTTATTCTGTAAGCTGAGAGCTGTTGCCAGTGATATTTCCTTTCACTTCCCAGTCACAAACGTAGAGAAAGACAGATAAGTCAGGCTAATGTTATTGGAAAGGAGACCTTTGAAGAAAGTAGCACCTATCAAATGCCAACTCTTTTAGAGATTTCTTATGTCTTTGAGATATGGGAATTTATATACTGCACTTATCTATTCTGTGCTTCTTCATCAGGAGTGTATTTGAATGCTGAGGTATTTGTTTTTGCTCTTGTTGTAAGAGACAAGATTTTTGGATTGGCGCCATGTTACAGGAGAATAATTGCACAAGCCTCTTCCTGGCAATGTACAGCCTATTCGTGTAAGATAAAAAAATTAGACTATAGATTCTAAGGGGCAGGCGGATCACGAGGTCAGGAGATCCAGACCATCCTGGCTAACATGGTAAAACCCTGACTCAACTAAAAATACAAAAAATTAGCCGGGTATGGTGGTGGGCACCTGTAGTCCCAGCTACTTGGGAGGCTGAGGCAGGAGAATGGTGTAAACCTGGGAGGTGGAGCTTGCATTGAGGGGACATCATGCCACTGCACTCCAGCCTGGGCAACAAGGTGAGACTCTGTCTCAAAACAAACAAACAAAAATTACTATGTTTCTCAGGCTGGACTCAAACTCCTGGGCTGAAGCAATCCTCCCACCTCAGCCTCCTAAGTAGCTGGGACTGCAGGTACATGTCATTGTGTATGACTTCAAGAAAATATTATTAACCATACATGTTCAGAACTTATTAGATCTATTACATCAAAAACATCAGGGGAAAGCCTACACCTGTAGATTTTTAACAAAATTTCCCCAGGTCACTGTAATGCACAATTCTAGCTGAGAATTACTGCAGCAGACAATCACTTCCGTTTCATCTCTCACCCACACGGCCAGTATCCTTTATCAGTTGGGATGTGGCCAGAAAGAGAAGAGTATGAGATAGAGTTTTTTATTAAAACTCCAGTTAATTTTCCTGGGTGTGGGTATAACAGGGACAAGTAAACTCAAAATCCCAGTTGATTTTGCTATTTATAAGTTCCTCATCTCCCACCTTCCCACCAAGATATTCTAGATTTGAGAGTTTAGACTCTTATCTAAGTGACTGTTTTTGCCAGGATGGGTAGGTAATAAGTCAGTTACTAATTTGTTCCACCCTTTGCTGAAGTGTTCCTCACCTCATCACCATCTACTCACTGCCAATCTGGTTTCCTCAGAGTCCTCTAAAAATTAATCTTTAGGCAAGTTTCAATTACTCTATTTACCAAACCAAAAACGATTACCCCAAAGCTGAAGAGCACTTTGTCTCAATACATCAACTGGGAAAACAACAAACTGAAAAACAAAACCTCTTCTTGGCATTTTCCCTCATTACCTAATTTCCAAGTGACCTGCATGTTTTTGATTGCTCCCCTTTTCCCTTCCCACTTTTCCCTCTTAAACCTTACCAATGAAAGATACATCCTTTTTTTTTAGAAAACTGTCAGCAGCAGCAAGATTTACATTTATTGTAAGTTGCTTTAGTTTTGAGTTTTAAGATAAAACCTGTTTCCAGGGTAATTTTTTTCCTGTGATTTTTAAAATACTAATTAGAAAAAAAAAATACACCTGGGGTAGGAAACAAATATTTGAAAAGAAGTTTTACCTTAACAAATTCACAAATATTTCCCATAAGTGCACTAAAAAAGCTGTGCCCTCTAATGCTTCTTTAAAAGTATATTTAAAATAAAATTTTAGACAATTATTTCAAAATATTTTTATTCAGAAATACTTGAGTTCCAAATATGAAAAACTGACTTTTACCTATGTCAATGTTAAAACAAACATTTTGAAAAGAAAGTTGATCGATCTATACCTCATTTAGTGCTTCAATATTTGCACGGTGGGAAAGCAGTTTTTCTGCCAGCGAAGTCCCCTTGTTATACATAGCATAATGGAGAGCAGTGTTGCCGTAGATATCCTTAATGTTTGGATTGGCGCCATGTTCCAGGAGAATAATTGCACAAGCCTCTTCCTGGCAATGTACAGCCTATTCGTGTTAGGTAAAAAATTGGACTATAAATTCTAAGAATTCAAAATACGTATTCCACAGGTTTCACCAACTAGTTATATTTAAATGAGATAAATTAATTTTAACTCTATGTATTTAAATCAAATTCATTTCATGCTGAAAGAGTTGGCTACTACATACCTTCATTAACGGTGTCCTGTTTAGTCTGTCACAGATGTCGATCTGGCAACTTCTGCTCAGCAAGAGAGTGACCACTTCCACACGGCCATGGGCACAGGCCAAATGTAGAACAGTCCTAGGAGAGTAAGAGGAGATTTCAGGAAATTGTAGTGCAATATCTCAAAACCTACAATGGTTCATGTAATTGTAAACAATGAATGGCAGTTATTCCTCTGCCTTCAAAACAAATAATTTTCTTTTGAAGAAAGTACAGTATTTATTAGCTCTTACTGCTCCCTACCTTAATGAAACAGCAGCCTATTTGGATAGAATGAGCTTGGTGCTTGGATTCAGTTCAACTAGGGCTTGAGTTCTACTTTGAACTCGGTCACATACCAGCTATTGCTTAACCTTTCTGTGCCTCAATTTCCACATTAATAAAATAAAGATGACAACAGTAGCTAGCTCACAGGACACCATTATGATGCTTAAATGAAAATCTATGTAAAGCATTTAGAATCATTTCCAGAACAAGCAACAACTCAATAACTGTTAGATTTTTGTTTGTTGAGACAGGGTCTTGCCCTGTTGTCCAGGCTGGAGTGCAATGGTGTATTTATGCCTCACTGCAGCCTGAAATTCGTAGGCTCAAGCAATCCTCCTGTCCTAGCCTCCTGAGTAGCTGGGACCACAGGAGCGCACCAGCATAATCAGCAAATTTTTAAAAATTTTGTGTAGAGTAGGAATGTCACTTTGTTGCCCAGTCTGGTCTCAAACTCCTGGCATCATGGGAACTTCCCACCTCAGGCTTCCAAAGTTCTGGAATGACAGGTGTGAGCCACACACCCAGCCAGATGTTATAATTATTACTATTACTACTACTTAACAAAAACATTTCAATTAAGTAAAATGATACAATTATTGCTATTTTGCAGGATGATTTAAAGGTTAGGTCACATTTTAGCATATCTGATATTGGAATGGCATTTATAATTCATAATTTTTTATAATTGGTAGCATTTAAAAAATCATCTTATTAATATAGAAAATAGTAGGGTATTACACAATCCATGAGGCCTTACATTAAGTAGAATACGGTATACACAGCAGGTCTAGGGCAGTTCTAGGCATCTAATTGACACTTAAATACATTTTAATTCCTAAAAGTACCATGGGGAACGATCACTGAAGTAACAACATATTTTTTAAACAAATTACTTCTTACTTTGATTTTTAAAAACATGAAGCTAAAGAAAACTAATGATTGAGATGAACAGGTATGGCTCATTTTAGTCAACACTTAGATTTACAGAATATATGCAAATCAGACTTTCGAATTATTAATAATAGAATTTAAGACTGATAAATTTTCAAAAGGGCAGTTAAAGGTTATCTCTTACTGTTTTCTACCTTCAGAAATGCTTTTGCTTGAAAGATGGGAGGAAAAGCTTCAGTGAGATTAAGTCCTACTATTCCCATTTTAAATCTCTCATCTTGCTCAGGTAGAACAGGTAAACATAAAGGTTTTAAGTATGGAAGGGTCCTGAGAGATAGTGCAAAATGTCTGCTACATAACAGGTTTTCAGGTTATGTTTGATGAATAAATGGATTGATAGAATACAGTTGGGGATCCCAGTATTTTTAAATACAACTTCTATAAACCAATATTTTCGTGATAGTAATAATATTTGCTGTTTGTTATTTTTATAAGACTACAACTATAATGAAATGATTAATCTATCATTGTTTGCATATGCACATATGTAATGAATCTATACATAAGAAAAACATATATACATAAAAAATATACATAAAAATATATACATAATAAAATCTGCAAGCACAGATAAAAAGATTCCCTTTTTATTTCTGAAGCTAAAAGTTCAAACAAGATAACTCTCAATAATAATATAAAACAGTGAGAAATTATTTTTATCTATACAAGATTCATATTTCTCTCTTCCCAAATATTATTCCATTAATAATAAATTTTTACTAGAAGTTTCATAAATGCTCACTTCAGAAATCAAAGGTAAGAAAAAGGAACAAAAGACTTTAAAATACAAATGCTCAGAAGTTACAAATTTTATCCTGTTTTGTACATAATTTTGGCTAACACAAGACCATAGTATGTTTGCGTGTATGTGCAAGCAAACTGATTTTTTTTTCCTCACTGGCTATAACAAAATACATCTTCACACATCAACATACTTCTCGACCTACTGCCACCTTCAATGGCCACATATCCATTCTATCGGTTCTTAATATAAATGCTGAGAAAAACAAAGTGCATGTATCTCTATTTTCTAAAGGTATTTTAATGCAATGGAATTGATGGGTAAAGGGCATATACATTTTTAAAATGTGGTAATTATCTCCAAATTACCACTTGAAAAGTCATCAGCAACTTAAACTTCAAGTAGCAGTATAAGTACCACTGCTCTTTATTCTCACAAACATTGTGGATAGAAAACAGTCGCATTCCTCTTTCAACTTAAATTCTCTTATGAGAAACACTAAGGATTTTTTCCTATGTACATAAGTAACTTGTGGATCTGCAAAAAAGTACTTTGCTCACTTTTAGAGTTCTTTTCTTGTGGATTTGATTGGAAAGAATTCCCTGTAAAATAAAGATGTGTTTTTTTATCTGTATATATATAACTGATCTATATATATAACATATTAGTAATACATACAATTTGTTATATATATAATCAGTAAATGTTTTATATATAATCATTAAATATGATATTATAAAGAATAAATTCCCTGTAGGATGAAGATACACTTTTCAGTTGAATATATATTTTTATATATTAGTAAAAATATATGAGGTAAATTTTTTCAAGTGTGTTATCTTTTGTTAATTTTTTTCTGATACACAGGGGATTTTAATTTTTAGTTTGCTAAATCAACCTTCAGAATGTCTGCTTACGAGGTCATTCTTAGGAAGGCCTTTGTTAACATAAAATGTACCTGTATAAATAAGTCTTTGTGTTTTCTTCTGGTACTTTTCTCATTTTGCATATGTAAAAATTTCAGTCTAAATTCCATCAGGAACTCATTTTTGTGACATAAAGTTTCATTAGTTTTCTTCACACAGTAGGCATTTTATTAATAACTCATCCTTTCCTACTCATCTGAAAGGTTACCATTATCAATCCCTATGCATGTATCTTGCATATATTTCAGAGTTTTTGGATTTCCTATTCTGTTCCATTTATTTGTGTTTACAGCTGTTAGTAAATAATTGATTGTGGGAATTAATAGCACATTTTGGTATCTAGAGGAGCAAGTCTTTTCACTCCATTATAAAAATTTTTAAATGTCACCACAATGGTAAGCAAGTGTCATGCAAAAATGATAAAACCTCGATATTTTCATTCGGTTTATGTAAAACTGATAAACATATTAAGAGCTCACATTTTGAGAAAACTGAGTCTTCCCATTCAAGGAACCCACGTCCCACTTCCAAGTGTCCCTCTAAGAAGCCGCAGTAAAGAACCTATCTACCTAGGTGGATTCGGATGTAAAACCAACCGACATAGGGTTTTATCTGAGAACTCTTCGCCTACTGAAAATGGCTCCTGGTATTTTTGACATGGGAATGAGTTCTCATTAGGCATCTCCCTATCATGTATATGACCCCATGTTTTAAACGTGTATATGCTTAACTTCGTGAGTTAAATCACTCAAACTCTCCACCAAGCGCTGCAGTAAGGGAATTGCCAGCGATGGAAAGCAGCTGAGACTCCGTTTGGCTCCTCGGCTCCGAGGGTGCCGGCGCCCTCCAAGGCCCCCGCCTCAGGGGCTGCGGTGAAACCAGGCCTGGGGCCCCCCTCCCACCTCAGGCTGAGCCCCCGCTACCTGTCCTTTCTGTCGCGGGCGTCCACGTCCCGAAACCGCCTCAGGCAGCGCTCCACCTCCGCGGCGTCGCCCTTGATGGCCGCCCTGTGGATCTTCCGCAGTTCCCAGTCCCGGGTGTGGTACCCGGGACCCGCGTACTCTTTGTCCCTGGAGCTCAGGAGCGCCTGGCCCAGGCGTCTCCCGAAGCTGAAGAGCTTCCTCATGGTGGCGACTTCTCAGACGCCCACAACCCGCTCCTGAGCCGCCGCGGCCCCTCGTGGCCTTTCCACCCCCACCCAGTCCCAAATCCGCGATCCCCCCACCAACCTGCGATCCACCCGCAAATCCAAGATCCACCCGCAAACCCGCGATCCACCCCCAAATCCAAGATCCGTCCCCAAACCCGCGATGTAGCTCAGAATCCGCGATCCAGCCCGGTCCACCACAGCCTTCAGCAGCGACACTCGCAGCCTCCGACCTCTCAGACCGAGTGAGCCCCGCGAAGCCGTTAGGCGCGCGCCTGCATCTCAGCGCTCGGACCTCTCAGACCGCGTGAGCCCCGCGAAGCCGTTAGGCGCGCGCCTGCATCGCAGCGCTCAGACCTCTCAGACCCAGTGAGCCCCGCGAAGCCGTTAGGCGCGTGCCTGCATCTCAGCGCTCAGATCTCTCAGACCGAGCGAGCCCCGCGAAGCCGTGAAGCGCGCGCCTGCCGCTCCCACCTCTCAGACCGCGTGAGCCCCGCGAAGCCGTGAAGCGCGCGCCTGCATCGCAGCGCTCAGACCTCTCAGACCCAGCGAGTCCCGCGAAGCGGTTAGGCGCGCGCCTGCATCGCAGCGCTCCGACCTCTCAGACCCAGTGAGCCCCGCGAAGCCGTTAGGCGCGCGCCTGCAGCTCCGCGCTCCGACCTCTCAGACCCAGTGAGCCCCGCGAAGCCGTTAGGCGCGTGCCTGCAACTCAGCGCTCCGACCTCTCACACCGAGCGAGCCCCGCGAAGCCGTTAGGCGGGCGCCTGCCGCTCAGCGCTCCCACCTCTCAGACCGAGTGAGCCCCGCGAAGCGTTAGGCACCCGCCTGCCGTTCAGCGTTCAGACCTCTCAGACCGAGTGAGTCCCCCGAAGCGTTACGCGCGCGCCTGCAGCTCAGCGCCCGCCGGGACTCCGGAAGCCTCTCCCACGTCCGCGTGACCGGAAGGGGGCGGCTGCAGCTTGAGCGCAGGCGCCGCTGGCTTGCGGGTTCTCCTAGGCTCGCGCGGGACGTCCCGGAATCGCAGGCGCGAAGCCCGTCGGGCCTGAGGGTCCGCGTGGCCGTGACTCCTGTCCCGCTCCTCCTCCGAAGAGAGATCCGGGCTGCTGACAGGAGCCCTCCACAGCCACCAGGGATGGGGCTGGGATCCGATTCCCGCCCTGGTGCAGCGGCCGCCGGGCAAACCGCCTGACTTGGCAGCAGACAAGGCGACATCTAGCCCCGGTGCTGCGAGGCTGGGAGCGCCAACCAGCTTGGGAGTTGCCAGGCAGCTGTTGCCAGCAGGTAGAGGGCGCCTGCAGCTTGGGCGCTCAGGTGGTGGAGCACGGCCTGGGCGGCCTCTGGATCGCGAGTGCACCTGGCCTGAGAGCCCGCCAGGCCCTGCCCCCGCCGGCTCCTGCTCTGCCGGAGCTCGGGACCTCTAGCTGGGGGCCCTCTGCAGCCACCGGGGATGGGGCTGAGGGCCGGTTCCCGCCCCTGTGCTGCCGCCGCAGGGCAGACCGCCTGGCTTAGCCGCAGCCACTGGGACGTCTGGCCCCGGTTCTGAGATATGGGGAGTGCGGGCGGGCTCGGGGATTGCCTGGAGGCTGCTGCCTGCACACAGAAGCCGGCTGTAGCTTGGGTGCCCAGGCGGGCTGGAGGTGCATGACCTGGTCTGCCTCGGGATCGCCAGCGCGCCCAGCCTGAGGCCTCCGGCCATGCCTCCCGCCCCACTCCTCCACAGGAGGGAGATCGGGGTCGCTGGCAGTCACCCCGATTGGGGTTGATCGGGGGTTCTCAGTTCTCGCCCCTGTGCAGCCGCCGCCGAGCAGAATGCCTGGCTTGTCCGCAGCCTCTGGGACACCTCGCGGGCCGGGCGGGCCGGAGGGTGAAGTCGCTGGGAGGCGGGTGCCTTCTCGCCCTGTGACGCCTCTGGGCCCCAGGGGCCGGCCTCCGGCGCACAGGGCTCCCCAGCATCCTGGGCGCGGGTCCGCTGCCCGCATGAAGTCACCTCAGAGAGGATGAACTTCGGGTTGCCTTTGTCCGGCTGTGCTGCCAGGCGGGGCAGCTGACCTGCTGATGGGGTGGCTTTCTTCATCTTCTTGCCCACGGGACAGCGGGCTGGGAAGCCAGGGGCCGCCGGGACCTGGGGCTGGAAGCCGCATCTGCCCACAGCCGCAGCCTCCTGCACCTGCCATCCTGGTGGCGCCCTGGCGTCGGAGAAGCAGCAGGCGCGGAGCTCCTGCAGCTGCACCCCTGCAGCAACCCGTCCCGGCGCAGGCGGCAGTGGAAGGCGGCCTCCTCGCACGGCTCCTGCGGCCCCAGGACCAGGGGTGCTGCCAGCACCGCCCTCACCCCCCGCGTCTCGTGGACATTAGTCCTGCCTGGAGGCGACTGGACTTGAGCGAGGCTCGCAGCGATCGGCCCCGCGAGGACTGGCATCCTGGGCTCAGGGTCCCGCACGCTGGCCCTGCGGCACCGCACCTTTCAGCAGCAGCTGGAATTCCTGCAGCAGCGCCTCAGGTGGGATGCTGGGACCCGGGGGTCCTGGCAGGCAGAACTTCAGCTTCTTGTCTTGGCCCCTGCTCCTCTTCTTGTTGTTAAACCTTTGTCACTCTGCCACGAAAAGCATCCAGGCGTCCTTGATTTCGACACTGCGTGCACGCTCAGCCGAGCTCATCGGAGGGGCGATTCTCCCCAGGGCCCGCGGGCAGCTTGTTCCCTGGCAGCGGCTCCTCCTGGACGCAGCTCCTTGTGGGCCCACCAGGCTCAGGGGAGCCAAGGCCTGCCGCGGCTAGCAGGCCCGAAGAGAGGAAGAGTAAGGCGGGCTCTGCAGGGCAGCGGGCCGGGACCATGAGAGAGGCGGGTCAGTCTGGGGTCCAAGCGCAACCTCTCGGGATTCCCCGGGACCCACGGCTTGTAATGCGCTTAAATCTCACGCCTCGCCAGAGTGACAGCACGTCATCGTCACAGCTCAGCGACCCTGACCCGCTCCCACTCTCGCTGCAGCGGAGGGTGTGTAGGGGAGAAACGGACGCAGGGAGGGAAACGCCCTGGGAAGGCGAACATCTTTTCATAAGCTTTTCCCTTTGTATATGCCATCTCTGATGGGAGCCTTTTTAGATCTTTTGTCCATTTACTAATTGGGTTGTTTGATTTCTTATTGCTGAGTTGTAAGTGGTTTTTAATGGTCTGGATGCCAGACAGGTGTTTGGCAAATATTTTCTCCCTGTCTGTGGCTTGTTTCTCCATTCTCTTAATATTTTCTTTCCCAGAGCACGAAGTCATATCAATATCTTCTTTCTTTCTTTCTTTTCCAATATCTTCTTTCATGGTAGAAATTTGTCTTTTATGTACTGTAGTGATGTATCTACAAAGTAATTGCCAAACCCAAAGTTACCTAAATATCTATTCCTTTTGTTATTTTACAGAAGTTTTACAGCTTTTGGATTTAAATTTAGGTCTACAAATTGAACTCATAAAAGTAGGAGTAGAATGATGATTACCAGAGGCTGTGTTGCTGGAGAGAAAATGGGAAGTTGTTCACACGTGCAAAGATTCGGTTAAGCAGGAGAAATTCATTTTGAAATCTATTGCACAGCAGTATGACTATAGTCAATAATAATGTACTGTATATTTCAAAATAACAAAAAGTAAATTTCAAATGTCTAACCACAGAAAATAAAATTGAGGTGATGGATATTTTATCCTCGATGTAGTCATTCCTAGTTTTATACACATATCCAAGCATCACACTGTACCCCATAAATGTATGCAATTATGGTTTGTCAATTTAAAAATGTTACAAACTTAAAAATGTGTCCTTTGAGTTAATTTTTGAGGAGCAAGGTCTGTGTCTCAATTCTTTTTTTTTTTTTTTTTGCATATACGTATATATACATACATGCAATGGATTCATCACTGGTTTTGAAAAAGCTACCCTTTCTCCTTTGAACTGCCTTTAACTTTTTGTAAAAGATCAATTGACTGTGTTTGTGGGCTCTTATTTCTCTATTCTGTTCCATTGATCACTTTGCAAGTCCTTGAACTTTGTTCCTCCCCTACAATATTGTTGGCTATTCTGGTTAGTTTGTCTTTCTTTATAAACTTTAGAGTTGGTTTGTCAATTTCCACACAATAATTTGTTCATGTTTTGACCAGAGTTGTATTGAATTTATAAATCACATTGAAGAGAACTGACATCTTAACAACACTGAGTCTTATTTTGTGAACACAATATCTCTTCATTTATTTAGATCTTTAATTCCTTTAGACAGATTTAATAATTTTCTCATATAGACCCTGCCCATATTTTGCTAGATTGTGTCTGTTTCATTTTCTTGATGTTAATGAAAATGATATTGGGCTTTTAATTTCAAATTCTTGTTGTTCATTGCTGGATGTAGGACAGCAATTGATTTTGTATATTAACCTTATACTGTGCAACCTTGCTATAATCCAGAAGGGTTTTTGGCTGATACTTTTGAGATTTTCTACATAGAAAATCAATTTATCAGCGAGTAAAGGGCATTTTAATGCTCCCTTTCCAATCTGTATGCTTTTTATTTTATTTTCTTGTCTTGTTGCATTAGCTAGGATTTTAGTATGATGTTGAATAGGAGCAGTGAGAGAGGATAACCTTTCCTTGCTTCTTATCTTTTGTGTAAAACATCCCATTTTTCACATTATGTATGATATTGTCTGTGGGGTGTTCTTTTGGTATATGTTCTTTATCAGTTGAGGAATTTCCCTTCTATTTCTAATTTGCTGAGAGTTTTAACCATCAATGGGCTTTGGATTCTGTAAAATGCTTTCTTGATCTATTAATACAATCAAATAACTTTTCTTCTTTAGCTAGTTATGTGATAGATTGCCTTAACTATTTTGTGTTAAGGCAGGCTTGCATACCTGGAATAAATCTCACTTGCTCTTGGTGTGTAATTCAACAATGTATTGTTAGATTTAGCATGCTAATATTTTGTTGAGAATTTTTGATGAGAGATATTTGTCTGAATATTTGTTTTTCTTTAAATGTCTTTTTCTGCTTTTAGTATAAGAACTTCATAGAATGAATTGGGATATTTTCCTTTTGCTTCTGTTTTCTGGTAGCGATTGTAAATAATTGTTATCTTTTCTTCCTTAAATGTTTCATACAATTCGCTGGTGAAATGCTCACACCTGTAATCCCAGCACTTTGGGAGGCCAAGGCGGGCAGATCTCCAGGTTAGGAGTTCGAGACCAGCCTGGCCAATATGGTGAAACCCCGTCTCTACTAAAAGTACAAAAATTATCCAGGCATGGTGGCATGTGCCTATAGTCCCAGATACTTGGGAAGCTGAAGCAGAAGACTGTCTTGAACCTG